TTTTAACAATCACAAGTCCATCATTTGTGCATAATTCAATTTCAAATTCCGCCTTATGTTGTTCTATTCCCATTATCTTTTTATTTATATTACATCTCTCTCTTAATTGTGCATATGAGAACTACTGAAAACTAAATCCCTCTGCAGTCAATTGTTCTCTTGACTTCATCTTAAGTTCTCCATGTTCCTGTACTAACAAATCTTGATATGTTAACTATTTATCTTTGCTATTTCTTTTTTATAAAATGCTTCTTGTGCTGAAACCCATGAGGGTATTTTCGGGCATAGCCTTGGTTTATATTTATTCCATATTCTTAATATGGCTCTCCTAATGTAATGATTTTTAAAATTTACATTAACTTTAACTTTATCATGCTATAATAAGCCATGCCATCCAAACCTCAAACTTTGCTGCAAAAGGAATCAATAATAGAGGACAGTAAAAAGAAATTGAAAGATTTTTTTGAGAACAATCTTAATAAAGGCACCAACATAAGGACAGTATGGGATGCCAGTAAAGCCTTTATGAGAAGGCAATTTATACAGAGAACTCACATTTTCAAACGTTTGCCTGACTTTGATTAAAACAGTTTGTGTCTCCTGGTTTGTCTTGAGGAAAGAAGGCTAACATTGCAGTCAAAAACATGGAAAGGTCACAAGATGTTAGAAAACAATCAGTAGGTTAGTTGTGAAATACAAAAGCACATACAAGACTGATGGAAAAATATTACCATTAGGTGAAATTAATGCATTCATCTCAACTATGATCTAGTCTTTAATCTTGGATCAGACGGTAACCAAATTTGAACACTGGTGCAATTTCACAAAGGATCAAAGGTGGCTTGGCATATGTTTATTTTTAGGGAAATGCATAAGAATGCCACTTTTGTTTTTACTAATAGCCCAATTTATACCACCACTGAAAAGCATCCATGGAGCTTCTTCCTGCTTACAAAGTATGAAAGTGCATAACTTCTAGAACAGTGGTTCTTAAACTGGGGGTAATTACTTCCAAGAGGGTAATTTGGGCATATCCTGGGAGTAATGGAGCAATTTGTAATTGCTTGTTTGTGAGTCAAGGATCCAGTTTGGGATTGCCACTGCCAAGATGATTGTGTAAAACAAGAGAATCTGGGTTTTTTTGTTTTTTGTTTTGTTTTGTGGGGGTAATGACATTATTTGAGACTGGGAAAAGGGATAATTGGGTCAAACAGTTCAAGAACCATTATTCTAGAATAAATAAAACTTCCATAAGAATAGAACAATGTATCCAAACATAGTCAATCAATACTAAAAATGTAAACACTAATATTAGTGAATTACCTTCTCATGCATAAATTATTGTTCATAGTTAAAAATAGTGGTGTGCAAAATGTTCCACATTCAAAGTGTGATATTTTAATTTGAAATGGTGTGGTTTGATTTCAAAATGCTTCAACTGAAAACAGTTTGCACATCCCTAGTAGAAATACTCACATATACTGTATGAGCACAAGAACCAGTCAATTGTCAGAGTATTCCAGCAGACGCACCTGATGAGTTCCACAGTTTCGGCGTACATTGTGTATGGGGACTTTGATTCCATGGGTCCTTGTTCCATGGCATTTCCACACTCAATAAATGATAATGCAGCTTCAGCATAATTCAGTGCCTTGCCAAATTTTTCCACCTTCAAGACAAAATCAGCAGGAAAAACATGATGACAAAATACTGTATTTATGCCTATACTAGAGTAGAAATGAATTGTTACTAATGTTTTCTTTGGTATATATGCAAAGGGGCAGAATATTTATATTAGTAAAAAAAGGAGACTTGGTCTGGTTTGGATTATCTTAAGATAAGATTTGCATAAGATTTTTGCCCCAAAGTTACTTGCTAAGTCAGAAAGTGTCTACTTAACCTAATTTAATTTGAACCAAGAAACTACTATTTCAGCTTCAGAACAAGCTAGTATTTTATGCTAACTTTCAGCTAGAATTTAAGATCCTGGATCTGAAGTTGGTAAATTTCTCAGTACAGGAGATAGGAATGCCTGGTTAAGTACTAGTTTTCTAACATATCAAGATCCAGGAGGTGGCAGCCCCTAACTAACTTTGGAGGCTAAGCAAAGTCAGCTGGGTAAGTACTTGGATGTGAGACCGTATACAAATTCCAAAGCTGTTGGATAGACTGGGAAGTTAAATGCCCTGGACGAATGCATCAGTTTTGTAATGCTGCCAAGAAAACTGCATGGATGCTGTTTCCAGGAGATGTGCTTCATTTGATGGCATCTTTACATTTAGCTTAATAAGGCACCCCATTAAAACAAAAACAAAAAAAAACCCAAACCAAATTCATGTCTTGATATGCTGAAATATGAAGTATATACCAACACAGCCAAGTTGATCAGTAGCATTTACAAATGAAACAGGGAAATATGGATAGGAGTGGTCAAAATAAATAAATGCAAAGAGAAATAGGGCTACAAAAATATGATCTTGTATTGTACAGAGTTTTGGGGCAAAGTTCAGAGTAAATCTTTGAAGTCTAAGCATCTCTAGTTTAATCAGTGATCATTTTATTCTCTTTTTTTGTGCCTCTGAGTCAGTGTTTTGACTCCAGGCAACTGCCTTGGCTAGTCCCTGCAGTTTTCTTGGTGAGGTTTATCAGAAGTGGCTTGCCATGGCCTGCTTCTTCCTAGGGCAGAGGGAGAGTGACTGGCCCAAGG